GGGGGTCTCCTTTGGTGCGCCATCAGTGGGGAACGGTGGGAGATGTGGTGGGGACTGGAAGGTTGGCTGCTTCGTCGACTGGCAGGTTTGGTCGATTCGCATTTCGCATATTTTCGTTAAGCCAAAAGATGTTGGATCTCTTGATTTGGCTGTGGATCACAACCTGGAACCCCAACAACATCTATAGCTTGACCTGACGTCGGTAGGTCGTGCCCGGTCGGTCTCCTACTTTTGACCGCGACGACAGTCCAGCGACCACAGGCCCATGCCGGCCACATCCCGTTCCATGTGGTCAGGTCTCTGTGACTGCTAGCTGGTGAAAGCATCTGAATCCATACGAAGTAAACGTGTTGAGGACGTCTTCTAAAGGGTGACTGGACACGTTTTCTCAAGTTTCGTGGTATTTGTGTGGCTACCTTCGTCCGCTTGTGGGTAATCACTTTGTTGAAGAGTTGGGCAATGTTGCGCCATTCTACTGTCTAAGATTCATGGCCTGCCCAACATCCTCCATGAGAGTCTGGTTGCCAGATGGACATAGAGCCTTCCATTGGATTGGTGGAAGGAAAAGGAGGGAATGGGGCTGCAAACCTACCTTTGATTACCTGGATGTACTAGTAGCAATCAGTAAAAGATGTTAAAATATTATCAAAGGTCTTTACTAACCGACCATGCTCATATAATCACAATGTATCATAATCATCATCAACCTTTACTATTTCTCTTTGGTTTGGGGATGATATATTCTTTACCTTTATGTGACACACTTGGTGCTAGGCGCCTGCCCCGAGCAGGTGCCATGAAACCGAGCGAGAGACGGCGCCAGGTACTTGCTGCATGACGACGGCGAAGAGGCCAAAGTAGTGCAGTGGTACTCGACTGGGGGCCAGACTGGGAGGGTGTCAATTGAGACTCTGGCAATAGAATATCATAGAATATGTTTGGGAAACAGCGACCTCCTCCCTGTTCCAAGCAATGCGGCTATTGTCGGAAGATTTCGTTAGATTCAAGCATCCAAGCTTAACGTTTGAAAGTGAACTGCGGTTCCACCCTTTCACTAGCTAATCAATTCAAAAAGCATGGAATGGTGACAACACAAATTCGGCGGGCCACCCAACTTCACCCAAGGGCCATTCCGAAGTCTGAGCGACTTGACTCGCACCCTGGAGCCTTTGGTATCTTAGGTGGCACAACAAGGATGGAAAAAGGTCCTTAAGCCCCCCCAAGTAAGACGAGATCACTTGGGTATCTTGACGACTGGTGGTTGGTCGCCCAGCCACCATTAGGCTTTTGTGTGTCCACCAGGCTGCGGTGGATGAAGACGGCGCTGATGGGATTTTCTATCATGCCACGGCATCCCAGAAGCCAAACGAAGATGAACCGCACGAACCGCACGAAGCGCACCGCGTGGGATGGTGGGACTGGAGCAGAAGTTTCAGCAAATGTTTTGTATGCATGATATGGTTTTGTTTCAAGATGTTGCAACAAACTAATTCGTTAGAGCTATCCGGCATTGCGTTTGGATGAGGAAAAAACACTTCAGCTGTGCTCCTTTTGAACCCACAAGTTTTTGAATGTACTGTGCTCCAAGGGTTTCATGTTCATCTCGCTTCAGGAAGAGACAAAACCAAAGATGCTTGGGTTCTTATTCATCGGACACTCCAAATGGGTGAAAGTGAAAAGGGGGGGAAACAGAAGTTGCTTGTGTGCATGTTTTCCCATTAATGTGTGTTTAACATACGAAACTCAGCCAGCCGTGGATGGGATGGTCTGCTCGCCAGGTCTGTGACCCTCGCGGTGCCTTCATCGGGATCCGAGCAGGGTGGGCTCTCCTCAGACGGGTTGAGCCGGAAAGGCTGGCCGGAAGGTCACAAATGCTTTTGACCGAACGAGAAAAGGTGAACCGACCTCCAGACCGAACTCGACCGACTCCCACGGCAGCGGATTTTTGGCATGGTTGAAAAGCAACAAAGGTTGCCAAATGGATTTCCACATTTTCCACTTAGGAACTGATTCGCGGGACATTCTTCCGCCCACCGCAGGATGTTTGTTTTGTGTGTTCAATCTTGCCGTTCAAAGGAGTTCACATCCTGTGTGATGCTCCATGTCCAAGAAGTAGGACAAATCAGGACTTCGATGGTTCAGCACTTCAATGTGACATATCCTTCGCTACAATGGGTTCATCAAACGGGGAGGCCCACCAAGACCCAGATGACCGGTGTTTCACCAGACCCGACGCGAAGAACCAAGAACATGGCCAGTCCTTGGTCGCCATCCATTGCCTTTTTGTTGATCCAAAACGAACTGCGCAACTAACTAAGCTTCAAACGAAGAGAAGACATCAGTCTGAATATGTCTGAATGGTGCATCCTTCCCATCCTTTTTCAAAGTTCTAAGGCCTGATACCAACTCAGATCGAACCGGTTTGCAACTGCAGCCGGGAGAGGCTTGGTGTTTGTCGGCTTGGTGCAAGGAAGGTCTCACAGGGGAGCATGAGTGAGATCAGCTACTGTACCAGAGAGGCTTCCGAAATCGATATGATGTGCAATGCATGTTCTGCTCATCGGAGGTTTATATTGGTTTACCTTGAAATTGGATTTGGCGGACACCTACATGCAACGCACCAACTGTAGCCATCCGGGTGACCATATCTTATCTTTAGGTGCTTGTTAAAGTGTTGACGTGTGACACGAGGTCCTGATTGCCACCGGCATCATTTTTCTCCATGTTAGTTGCGCCACTTATGTTGACCTCCGTTTCTGTTGGCAGTGGGACTTCCAGATTGAGTCGCCTGAATTCTCCCTCCACCAGACATCCACACCTTTTGGGGGGGGCGCAGTCAGCCATGTGCGTTTAGCCATGCTCGCCACGAAAGACGTCTCCACCCAGCCTTTGGCCGTCAGTTTAGACCTTCGGTTCCGCGAGCGATTTGGTGCAGATCTTCGAAGTCGAAGAGACGGTGAAGCAGGAGGATCAGACCTACCTGAAACTGGCGGATGGACGCGGATGGGTCACTTCGACGGAACGTAGTTCGAGAAGCGGTGACGGGGTGGAGAAGCGGGGCGGCAGTGTAAAAGGCTTGCTCCAAGAACCACGCGTTTCCATGGTCGTCATGGTAGTTCGAACCTCTTCTTTAGGCCTTCAATGGTCAAGATGAAAACCCCTGATAAATACCCCTGCCTTTTTGTTGTTTTTTTCCCACTTTGAACCATGGCTCACTTCGTGCCCCGGACCTTAGACATCTCACAGATTAGGCACCGATTTTGGATCATCCTAGGCCTTCACTCACAGCTCACGCGATGGCCGGATGCTTTGCGAACGGCTTTCGGCCAAAGAGGTGGGTCCCATGGACCGTGGGGCGGACCGGTTCTGAAAGGCTTTGGCGGAGTGGCGGAGTGGCGGCTCAAAGCATCTCACAGCTTTTTGTTGAGACTATAATGGGGTTTTGTGAGACGAATGGTTCAGTTGATTGTTGGATCTCCAGTCTTTTGGGAAGGTCAAGTCAGAAAAGTCTCAAATGTGATGTTCACTGGCCCAGCATCCAAGAAATGACCACCCCAAAGTGTCGTGTTGACAATTCCCCAGACCAAACAAACATGTGATGGCATCCAAACCGGCCGGACGACGAAACGCCATAGTGACCAGAGTGCCAGGATGAGTTTGTAATTTTACTTTTTGAGAGCTAGAAAGCACATCCAAATTCGAGTCATGCTCAACCCATGGGGCTGTTGGGGCCCGGTCATGTCTGACTGACCTGACAGATGGCCAGGCCAGAAGTAAGATGGCAGAGATGCCGCGTGAGGGCATCCCAGTCCGACCGGCGCATCATTCAAAAGTTGGATTGGACATGGGATGCTATATGATGCTCTGATATGCTATGATCATATTACATCAGAATATATCAGAATCATATTTCATCATATTTCTATACTTATCATATGTCACCAGTTTTCCCATTATCTCTTGCCTTTCAGTGATCATATCATCTGCGCTGCAGCGGCACATGGGACCTGTTGCATCACACCCCCCAGAATCGGCCGTCTCAAATCATGTCCAAGGCCCTCAAAGCCAGGAGGCCCTACAAGCATTGATGGAGCGCACCATGCGGGAGCGGCCCGCAGGGAAGCCCAAGGAGCTTGCTGCAGGATGCTGCAGGTATCTGCAGGTGCAGGAGGTGACGCCCAGGCTCAGTGAACTTGAACTTGCGAATTCTATTTCTTTCGTGTTCTCATTTGATTGAAAAGGACCCTAGAGATGGGCGTGTGTGTCTGGCTTGCATCCAAAAAAGTCATGCCTTGTTCTTTGTGCCCTTATGCCTTCGAAGCCAATCCCACCCACCATGTCGACCCAGGAATTGCAACAACTTCTCAGTGACCCTGAAGTGTCCCGAGACTCAGGGAATCATCCTGGTGATGATGGAGGAAAACGCTATGTCATCAAACAGAGGAACTGCATCCAAACTGGCCTGACATCAAAAACCGTAATTGCAAGTATGTGCATGTCATTTCACATTTTTTGCATGCAACAGGACTTATTTAATTTATTCCACTTGTTCCAAGGCAGGCAAATATGGGAAATCCAGAAGCAATGGCGCTTCCCTTAGACAGCAGACAATGTGTATAGTGCATCGTCACCTTCCGGGGGGGGTAGGGCGGCAACAAAAATGCAGAAAATCTATGGAGAGAGAGAGAGAGAGGCGTCCTGCAAAATGTCGGATTGCAAAATCCCTTTCAACCTCGAGGCTAAATACTTCCAGGCAATTGAAGCGGTGTGCAACCAAGATTTGGCGCAGGGTTCACTGCAGTTGAATTTCTGTGATTTGTGGCCAGAAAATTCACATGTTCAGCAGTGTTCAGTACAACGACCAGTTCGCTTTTCACACCGAGCAGTTCTTGGCACATTTGGTGACAAAATGTTCCGCATCGAATTTCACCGATGCCGTTTCTCCACAGGAAGAACGGTATTGTGGTAGTCACGCATGCGAGGCCATGGTTGGTCAGATGCCGCCGCAGGTTCGTTTTTGTTTCAAGTCTAGTCATATGACATATAAGGATTACGAACATGGACTAGATGAAGATAGTTCGATGTTTATCACTTTGTCATGTTTTGATATTTTTTGATCCAAATACCAAATCGACATGTTCCTGTGCGCGGAACTGAGAGTTTAAGGGTCTAAATAGACAATTGATGAGGATGCGGCAGTTTCATTCCAGATTCTGAAGGACCTGAAGGAACAAGTTCAAACCATGCAAGTGTCAAACCATTGGTGTTCTCATATGAATTGAGATTTGCGTTCATCCGTTTGAACCTGGGAATTGTTCAGTTGCAGGCTGTCAATTTGTTTGTAAACATTTCGAGTCGGAAAGACTTGGTGAAGACCTGGTGAAGGCCGCTTTCTCGAGAAGCGGTGTTGGGGACGAATGGTCGGGCCTTTTCGACCCGGTGAAATCAAATCAGGTGAAATCTGACACCCAAGAAACAACAACAATACTGACATTGCAGTCATAATGTTACACTCAAACAGAATGACACATGAAGTCAATATATTAATATGGTGATTCCAAGAACTTGGCGATGGTGATATTCTCGGAGGTCAAACAAAAACTCATTGACTGACCAGGGCAGATGAGCTGTCCAGCGTGGTCGGGGCTGCCTTTGGCCGCCAGGCCGCGTGGCTGGCCGTGTTTGGCATGTTCGTTGGGGTTGTTGGAATGTACAGAACATGGTGTGATGTTTTTATGAGTTTCTACAAATTGATACAAATTGTATGGACATATTGGGATGGTTGGACATGTTTGTTATTTCATGCTAATTTTTGGGGGAATGCATGGAATTGGAGAAACATTTTGACAGCCGGCACCATCCGCATGTGACAAAGATTTCAGTGCCCCTTGCATGAGGATCTATACATTACATGGACCACCTCTTAAAGTGCCTTGTGCTGCTCCCCAGGCAGCCAACAAACACATGATGAGTACAGTAGCAGGTTTTTGGGGAACTGGTGTAAAACCCAGAAGAAAAGACACATTCTTGGAAAGATGAATTGCAGAGATACGATCTTGAAGTGATCCATGTTCCTCCTTTTGCTGGCCAGGTGTGACGCTGGTTGCGACAGCAAAAGAACATGCACAAGCAAGCACAGTGTGATGTATCAATTGTGTTGTGCAGATGGTGCTGGCATTGGATGTATGTTGTTTTCTTGCGGCAGCTGTTTCCAGTTGTAACCAATGTAATCAAGATAGTTTCGAGGCATGTGGAAGCACTTGCTACATTGGAGTTGGCACATGCCATGACATGCCTGAATTACAAGTTCAATTTGGACGCCATTCTTGGAAATGTCGGGGCTTGGATCAACTCCGTCACGTTGTTTTTTGTCCATTTAAGTCGTCGGAGAGAGCAAGATCAGCCATGGAGAACGACCCAAAGTCTTTGACCTCTAACAGGCACGACAACGGGAGAGGGAAAGGTTTCAAAAGGTGTTCAACAGATGCGTGCAACATGCAAAAGCTTGTACCATGTGAAAATCCCTTTGGGCTGTGGGACGACTTCTTAAAAATCGATTTGTTTGGCTCAAAGAACCATTCTCAACTTTGGGTTGGGCTTGCAAGACTATTTCACCAGGTGGGACATGTGAATCGAAGGCCATGAACAAGATCTGAATTTGATTCTTTGGGGCACACTCCCTCTTCGGCATGCATCATTTAAATTTTACTTAAATTGATCGTATATGGATTGAGTAAACTTACTATATATAGAACTATGTTTTGCAACCAGAAATAGGCTTCAAAGAAGCTGATAGAGCTTTTCCATGTCGCCTTTCATTACCACGATGTGATACAGTTTGTTTTTTCTCAGTGCGGTTGGAACTCGTCGTTTTCATGCAGCTTGCAAAAGTTGTGTTTACACAACATATGCAAATCAAATCCACAGGAGGAGTAAGTATATTCCCCTCAGGGACATTGGGACTGGTTGATTCCGGTGCCTGAAAGATTATGGTTCCTCATGTGCCCGGAACCATTCCCAAGCCGGGTGATCCCATGTTTTCAGGGACGCCAGGCAGCAGCAGTGCTCAAGGCATTCTTAAATGAAATTGATAAAACTTGGTCAATTCTCCACTTCACAAGTTGCAACATGTCCCGCACTTTCTTGCAACTTGTTGCATTGAGGGAAATGACTTGTAGAAAGGGAACACCGCCAGGCAACACCAGCCAATAGCTCCAGCGGAGCAACTCGACCGCGGCGGGTTCCGTGTTCCTCATCGAGCGGTGCCGGAAAGTGTTGATCGCCGTGGTTTGGTTTTCGATATCAGAGGAACTTGCTAGTAAAAACAGACTAACACGACTAGCACGTGCATTCTGAATGAACACTATGATATGACACTAATTACACTACTTGCTTAGAATGAACACTATGAATACATATGAAGCCTGCCCCCAGTGTTCAAGTGGTTTGCTTTTCAATGCAGATCAATCCACTCTTCGCCCATTTATGAACTATGTCAATCCACTCAGAAGGAGTGATATACTTTTGGACCTGACACCGTCACTGAGGCAACGGCCAAGCATTAGGCTGGAAAGCGGTGTGTTTCCAACAGGTCCTATTTGATTCAACAGGGAAGCTCGGTGGTTAGCCCTGTGGGTTATTGATCAAATCTGACTAGCTTCGTACGACTTGGACTCTTTGTGCTTGTAATTAGGTGCAGAGTTGAGAGGTTGTCAGCTTTTCCTGTTTCTCATTTTGATGCCTGTTAGAGGCGGCCTGCACCTCATGTTCGACCACCTCATGATCAAGATGTCCAGGTCTATGGGCATTTGGGTGTGTGGTGAACGATTCTTTGGAGCGAAGACTTCCAGAGATACTTGGGAAAACCACGCAAGCAAAATTGAGCGCGTTGCCACCAGCCTATTTGTGTTAGACTCTAGCAGGCCAAGGAGATTTGGACATCCACAGGAGTTTCCCTCGGTCTTGTCATCAGTTTCTTGGGGAGACGGGTGGACGCTGTCATCCTCAGCTGAAAACAGTCGCCGTCCCATGTCGGAACAGCAAGTTGGGCCCGGAGTGATCGGGCGGGAAGATCAGCCAAGGAATCCCTGAAAGGATGTTGACACAGCATGTTTGATCTCAAGGAATGTCTGAACACTGCAGACAACTCGTCCGCTATCTCTGAACATAGCATGTTTGAAACAGCACCCAGACACTCCATGGGACTGCCATAGGACTGCCGATCAGGCCAGGGGTGGTTGAAAGGGGGTCAATGTAGGCATATATGGCAGTCCCATGGAGTGTTTGGGGCATGATTGATCTCCAGTTATCGTGCGACGCGGCCGAGTTCTGCAGTGTTAAAACGCCACGGCCAGATGTTCTCCAGTGAAACAAATTGCTTTTGTCAAACGGATGGCACTGCAAGGGAAGCGCTCTTGAACAAAGATGCATTTCCACGGAAAGCTGCCACGCAGATGCTTTTTTGCCGACAGTGTGCTGATACTTACTCAGTGCTCCTTCGTGCGCAGGACCTAGAAAGCGCGCCTGTGAATGGAGTTGTGGCCAGACAAGGAAATGGAGAGAGGGGTGGAGAGAGCAGAAGGTTTACTCTGTTCATGTTTCGTGCAAACAGATGATGTCACTAGCTGAGTAGCTGCCTCCCCATCATTGTGTTCTTTTGTTGTGTTCCTTATGCTGCAGTTGCAGTGGTGCATGTTGCTTCGTTGTTTTTTGGCTGTCGCCCATGTGTGAAGAAACTCTAGTCTCCAGTCCAAATGCTCGTGGCAAATACACATTAATATCAATGGCAGATTCCTCAAGTAAGTAGACATGCAGAGCAAGTCTCAGCCTTTTGGCATTTAAGTTGATCCAAGAACACCATTCATCCTGGAGTCATTTGCAACGCGACGCAGGAGTGATAGCTGATAGATGCTGATAGATACTGTGAGAGCACTTTGAGAAACTGTTATCAATCAAATCATACCCCAAAGTACTTGTTACAATCGAGGGCCTTTGGAAAGACGCGTTTGTAGACAACCCGCGCAACATGCTGCGTGTTTGGTCATATGTAGAGCTGCCTTCCCTTTTTTTGGTGTGAGAAACCAAGACGACCTGATGAGTCATATGAGACAGATGAAGCTCATGCAAAAAACAGATCATCCAGCAGTCACGTTCGACGGGGTGCTATCCATGGAGGAAGTCGGGGTGCCCAGAACATCCATTTAGTTAGGGACATTCCACACCACCCAACTCCATGACCCAGTTCATAGCAGAACTTCATTGATCGCAGTCCACCAAGGACTTGAGGAGAGAGGTGGAGGCGATCTTCACATCCGCGCTGAGAGGCTCAGAGGTCCTTGAACGGCAACGCCCCTTGGAGCGAAGTGAAACTCTTGGGACATTGGAATAAGGTAAATCTGTTGGAGAAGAGAGAGAGAGGATTCGGGTGGCTTCATTGATTCGTTGGACACATGTCATGCATGTCCGGTTTGAGCCGAAAGCCATGCCGACACGAGAATGGATCATTAGCGACATTTGGTGTGTGGTGCAGGGTCCAAAATCGGTGGTTGTTCTCATGTTCTCACTCCTGCGGCGCTTTTTCAGCGGCGCAGAACCAGAGAGTCCCCTCATCCACGAGCAGAGCAGAACCAGACACACCGCCGCAAACACGGTTTGTTTCGCTTTGCCACAGACACATACCGCTTGACATGTGGCGTTTTTGAGGCTACATCGACTTTCTGCAGTCCATCGGGTCTACTTTGCATGAGGTGAATCTCTTCATGAAGGAAAATTGACGGAACTGACGGAGTTCTGTGTGGGAAGGCGATGGAAGAGTCCGCAGAAAAGTCTTGGATAGCTGTCCAATCATCAGCTGTTGTCAACAGACCTGCTCGGATGAAAACTCGACAGTTGTTTTTGCCTTTGTGAGTTTTTCTCTGAAGCAATCAGGCGATAATTTGTTCTACTGAACATGCGAAGGCGAGATGAGTCCTGGAGGCTAAGCGCAAAAATGTGTGCAACCCCATTTTGGGGGGTCCTGAGTTGACCCAGCGAAAAGTTTGATCAGAAGCTGGTCTTTCAGCAATGACAAACTAAGCTACTCCCATTTTGCTCCAGGAGTTCCCAGAAGGCTCGTGGATATGCAGCTCGCCAGATCTATTCAGTTGTTGTTACAGTTTGCCGTGCTTGAGTGTGCCTAGGAAGGACTTAGCTTCATTGATTCATTTCCTTTACATATTTTTACACTTGGGGCCCGGTGTCGCGAGGGGTTCAATCAGCCATTGAGGTGTGAAAGACTTCTTGGATTTCCTCTTCTACTCTACTCCTAAGGTGCATCAGTGGGCCGGAAGGGAGGTGGGTGACTTTGGAACATGGGAAAACAGAACATGTTGAGTGAAATCCGCCAAAACCCGTGTCCATTGAGGAGCAGCAGCAGTTGGAGGACGCCAGGAAGACAGCATCGTTCTCGTTGCCTCTCCGTTTCACTTCAACAGAGATGCCTTCCGTGTTGTGCGACATGGTGGACAAGACCTTTAGGGGTCGCATCATCAATGGAGCCAAAGATTGTTACGCATCCTACCCTGGGAAGTTCAAGACGGGCTTCGAAGCACTCTCCAGTGATGTGGGTGAGTTCTGCGACCAGAGTGTCGCATGCGTCTACTTCTGCAAAAAAAAGGATGGCCTGGGCCGCCACCATCCTGATCCTGACGACGGCGAGGGACGGTGCTATTGCAGAAGGATCTACGGCGAAGGAAACCACACGAACAGAAACTACGAAGTGTGTTTTGCTTTGCAGTCGATGCACGTTTTCTTTGCAAAGATTCTCCCAACCTCAGGGTCTAGGTCGGAATTTCATTTGAGGAATGAATATGCTGACAGCAAGAGCATTTGTTGGCATTGCGCCTTCTCACCTCCTGTTTGATACCGAGACAACAAATCAAAGCGCACATTCTGACGCTCTTTGGGTCAATGTACAAAGCATCCGCCCTCCAACAACAAGTTCAAAGAGCTGAAGTAGTAAACAAAGGCCATAGCAACCGTGTTGGGGCACCAACGATAACGATGCACTAGCCATCACCAGTCTACCAGTGCAAACCCTACAACTTACCAAACATTAAGATGCAACAGCAGCCAGTAGGCAGTTGTCACAACAGGCTTAGTAGCAGACCTCATGAATGAGCTAAGACCCCCACACTTCATGTACACATTCTATCACCATGCCTTTGTGCCAGGGGCCATATGAATTCTAAGGTTCGGCTACCTTCACTGGATTGGGGGGCCCTACAACGACGGGGATTGGTGGAGGAGGTGGAACGAGGCACAAAAGGTGGCGGACGCCATGAACGCCGTCCTTCTTCGCAAAGACGCAAGCAAGGTGGAGCGATACAAAGCGAGAAGAACAGCAGAGGAACGATGGGAAGCAAGTGGCCGTGTCCCAGCCTGGGGGTGTTTTTGGTTCCACGTGTCCTTCCTGCAATAAATTGGCCTCACATGGCCTCATCTTCCTTGGAGTGACTTTGTTGTGCATTGTTTGCATTGCTTTGGGACCCCAGCGTGGACATGAACATGGTAGGAAGCAAATCATAGCCAAGGTCTGGTTTGGGCATATCAAAGAAGGAGTTCGACAAGGTCAGCGCTTGAAAGTGGTCTATTATCCGGGCATGGTTGGAAAAGGCAAAGTGACCATGGAGGATTTGAAAGATCCAAAGGTGTCTTTGTGGGATTCAGACCCAGCGAAGAGGGGACTGGGTGGTTCTCAGAAGGCTGAGGTTGCTACATTGGATGCCATGAGACAAAAAGAAGGTGATGCCTGGGAGTATGATGAAGTGGATGCTGCAGATTTTCTCAAGGACTCCTTTTCTCCTGGCCAGACTGTTGCCGCTTGGCATGAGGATGAATGGAAAAGAGGAATGGTTGTAGCAGTGCCCGATGCGAAGACTGCAAAGAAGCCAGCTGATGGCTTGAAGTGGCAAGTGAAGTGCCAAAGAACCGGGCAACGGTTCACGACGGACCGTGTCCGGCATGAGAGTGCTGCAATGCAGAAGTTAGCCGACAAGCTGAGTGAGAATACGTTCATTCAAGCATTGAATGCTTGCCTTATAAATTATCTTCCAGATGGTCAGGAGTTGACGAAGCCCCGAGAGGAGAAGCTCCGCCATGGCACTCCTGCAATGACATTTGACCTTCAAATCGAAGATGTTGAGGCGTTGAAGAAATTGTGCGCAGCAGTGCTTTCGGGCGACTTGGAGCTTGCAATCAATACAGCGACCTTCAAACATGACTCTTACTCTACAAATCTTTGCAAATCGAGAAGACTGAGTTTGTCAAGGCTTACAAAAACGTTTTGATGAGATGCACCAAACTTACTCCACACCAGGAGGAGAAGCTTCGAGAACTAGATGGACCCGAGGACTTTCATCTCTCAGCAGTAGCTGGGTCAGGGAAAACGTTTGTGGCTGTTCGGAAGGTTCTGCAGACGTTGAATTCGAACGACGGTCAGGTTCTATTTGTGGCTCCTTCAAAGTCTTTGTGTTTCCATTTCCTGCGATGGCTTGTGCACATGCACGTTGCTTGCTTTGGCAGAAGAGTAGAGACGCTTGGGCAAGAAGAAGTTCTCAAGATTTTCTCTCGCCTTAGGTTGATGCATGCACCCTACAACAGTATCCTGACTGCTAGCATCAACGGCGGTCGAATGCAGCTCGCAAAAGATGAAAGCTCCACTATCGAGTTTGTTCTTTCAATCGTTGATGAAGCTCACCACATTTTTCGTCCTGATGTTGAGCAACGTTTTCTCAGAGAGAGCTTGCGCCGCTCAAAGCAAAGGATTCTGATATCGGACGCATCCCAGTCATCAGCTTTGGAACAAAACTTCCCTCCAGAGTTCCATTTTCGTTCAGCACATCTCAGCCAGATCGTTCGCAGCACTGAACGAATCATCCTCGGGGCAAAACCGTTTCAGGTGAATTCTCAACAGCCAAATGATGTGACCTCATTGGCTTCTAATGGCCCGCCATTGAAGACATATATCTTTGATCGGAAAAGTTCAGCTTCGCTGTTTCAAGATTATTGTGGCCTTGTCCAAGACTATTGTCACTATACAAGTTCTGCCCTTTCGCATGTCATTTCCTCATATCCAGACCTCAAGCTTCACCATAACGTGGCCATTCTCGTTCCAGATCTTGGTTTTCTCCAAGTATTCAAGCCTTTCTTGGAAAAGATGCTCCAAGATGAAATTACATGTAAAGAACTGCGCCTTATTGACTTTGAGGAGTCGTTGTCTTATGTGGTGTCATTGGATACGGTGGAGAACTCCGAGCATGAATGCATCATATTGGATTCCATTGACAACGCAATGGGGCTCGAGGAACTCATTGTGATAACCGTTGCGATGGATGCGAGGATCATTCCTGAAGGCATGGGAGTAGGAAACAACATGAAACAATTATAAACAACTAAAGAGCAGGAATCATAGATAGTGTTGACGAATATTGTGACCCTTGGCAATTAAGTTCTGTAGGTTTTCATGTAACAGGCATGCGGACCTTGGCCAAACTATCTGAGCTATTCACAAAAGGCACCGATGCGGAGCTGCAAGCTTAGGAGAATTGAGTGCCAGGACACGCAACATGCCAACACAAAGGAATTCCCCTGCTACTATGATCTTTCATGCCTGTGCTGTGCCTGTGCCCCTGCGTGTTCTTTTTGACATATAATATAGGGACCCCGGATGATCACGGTTTGAAGTTGCTGCATGAGCGCAGGCAGTGCTGCTGATCTCGGAACACGAGCTCGGCTGTATCAATGTATCACACGTGCTCAGCTCATGGCAATCGTCGTGAATGAACTCTTGCCCGGAGGATGGCTTGAGCATTTAACCCTTTGCAAACTGATGCGGGGTGAGTTCGATGAAGTTGCAGGAAGTATCGAATCTTCCGCTGGTGCAGCCACCAAGGTTGTAAAAGAAATTCAGGAAATTCAGCCTGTTGGAAACTCTGGTAAGAAGCCAGCTGAATACGCGCAAAGTACAGCAGCAAACATTGAGAATAATGATGCTTTATTGAAAGATCCTGCGCGATCTTCAGCTGAACCTTCAGTTGCAGCTTCTACAGAGATCGCAGGAGGAACGAATCAGAAGGTGATGCATATGCGCGAAAGTGTTGTTTGGGACACGTCGCACAACAACATTCAGACTCCCATCTACAAGCTAAGGTTTGATCCTTCGAAGAAGTCTCCAGCAGAGGCCTTTGAGATCCTCAAATTAATGCTGCCCGCCCAAATTCTCCCAAGCAACTGCCCATACCCCAATGACTGCCTTTTTTGGAGAACGTTCGAGTACTCGTGGGGGGGCCACCCCGCATCCACTACAGGTTCTGAGAACTCGTTTCTATTTTTTCGAGATGGCACAGTCCTTCAGAAATCAAGACGGCTGGATTTGGATCACTCGTCGGAGTACAGAATGGTAGGTTTTGACACGTGCTCTGGTCCTGACTATGAGTATTACCGTATGTGGTCTTGCTCTGCTGCAGAGGGACATTTTGATTTGTATGCCTTGACCTTAAGTGGGACATTTACTCATGAAGCGACAGCAAGAGAGTTTGAAGACTCAAAGGATGACATACCTTGGGCCAAGTCCAGTGGAAAGCCGGAGTTTAGCTACACTTCAAAGGAGTTTCGCCAAGGAGTTGAGCAGAGAGAGCGGCAGTGGAAGGACTGGGAACAGGGTCATCGTTGCTGTTTGAACAGGATGATGGCCACCCTGTCGGAAGCGCAATTGAAACGATTTGGCATGGACTCGCAGCACTTGTGGTTTTGGCAGTCCGACCTCTGAGCCTCATTGACACTCTTAGTGCTTGGTCTCTCACGCGGCCTTCGAGTGCTGGTGCGGTCATTAAGCCTAAGTCATTGCTCTCCAAAGGAGATGCAGCGCGGATCGATTCTCTTTTGTGCCGGTCCCCTGGCTACTACAGATGACCAAAATGTCAGTCCATGTCAGCGTCATAGAGTCATAAGGAAGACCGGCCAGGGAGTTGATTCGGGCGTGGAAAGAAAGCGTAAGGAGTTCAGGAGTGGCAGAGACAAGTCGAGAATGGTGGTGGAAAGACTTGTGTGAATACCCTTGAGACTTTGATGAACAGAAGTTAGATCATTGGAAATATTGCCAAGTTTTTTTATCTCAAATTCTTTGTGCTCAAGCAGTCTTGTCGCATTTGTCACCTCAAGAATTTCAATTATAATTATACTTTCAATTATTTGTCTCAACTAAACTCGACCAGTGACCAGCTGCTTGCACCAGATAGACCAAGCACGTGCAAGAACTGGATTCATGGTTTTTACACAAGTGTAGTGTAATGCCATTTATATAATGCCTTGTGTTTGTATGTTTTGCTAACCATGACTGGGTGGGCGAATGCCGCTGTACGCTACGGGCGCTGGGGTCCGGCAGAGCGAAGGCGAGGTGGTGGAGCGGCGGGAGCGGATGGAGGGGGGTTCATTGGTAGTGATTTGGGATGACCCCAAGTAGCTGGTTGCCCGTAACCCTAAGCATATCTGAGTGCACACGATTGCTGCATGACCAGGTTAAGAAAGAAAGTCCCGATTGGACCTCAGTGGTTGTGGTACCCACCTCCTTAGTGGTGTTATGTGGTGTTAGCCTTTTCCTGCTGCCATTGTGCAGTCTACATAGTGCATGTAGTTTTGCCTAGCAAAGGCGAGCTAAGAGCTGCAAGGAGCTTCCATCGGACGAATCCCTGCCCCTTTATCGCACCCCAAAGACCTTGCAAAGCCCCCAAAGACCGTCTCAAGAAACGCTTCCGAAGAACGAGTACCACAAAGCGACAAACCCAAGTGTACTCATCTCTGTGTGTACCACAGGGAGAGTCATGCGGCTGCCTAGCAGGCTGTGTCTTCATGCGTACCTGAAATTCGACCACTGCCAGGGTGGAGCTCCAGCAGTCCCTTGACACTCAAGGAGGCAGGCCTTGAAGTTTCCTACATCACCAATCAGGTTTGTAGTTATATAATATAGACTGACCGAGTGTTGTAGATTTGCTATGATTTGCTGATTCTCTTGGAGTTTCGGCGCATGTCTTGGGATGTCTCTTTTTCAGCTGCGCAGGAGGTGGATGTTCAGAGTAGCTGCAGGTGGGGCATGTGGGGCGGTTCAATTAGCAACCTCTAGTTGGAGGGGAGAAAGTGAATGAGTATTGCTATCAGTTCTTGGAAACTGGCGTAAAACCCTCAGACGAAAAGACACACATTCTTGGAAAGATCAAGGAAGGGCAGGGTTGCAAATTTAGTATAATATGTATTGTTCATGTATATATAACAATGTATTATATAGAGAGAGGTTTATCAAGGGTATGAGAGTGTGTGCGTGTGTTGCAACCGTTTGCATCCACGTGTGCTTCGCCTGTTTTTGCATTAACATGCATCCTTTCCACATTCAACAACGAGAGTATGTGCTGCAATCGGACATAAGATGACATAAGTTCCAAACAGCTTGTTAGAGCTTTTTCATGTGACCCTTCATTGCCACTGTGGAATTCGTACTTGCATGCATGTAAAGGTTGTCTTGCACGAAATATGTCAAATCAAATCCACCGGAGGAGTATTCCGAAAGGACCCTGGGGACTTGTGGGAGTCCGATATGGATTCTGCATGTCAGTTGACTGGATTGGTCCCAAACCTGGGTCCTTGCGGCACCTGGTCACGTGTTTTGCTTCGCTCTGCTGCGAATCCGATCGCTTCAACGCCACAACCGATCAGGTCGGGGGGGGAGTGGGACCCTGTAGCATCCTGTGGGATGCCGAAGAACCGAGGAAGCTTAGTCCAACTTGGAGTGTTGTTTGGGTGGTACCAGCAGAAGCAATTACTCCAAACAAAGCACACCCAAACTCCACTGCTTCACGCACCCACTGCTTCCCCGAAGCGACGGATGGCGGAGTTACTGGGAAGGTGGGTTCAGTGAAATCGACAGCCTCTCTTGTTTCTGGTCAGAGGCGGCCGGTCGACCACCTCATGATCGACCACCTCATGACTAAGATGTCCAGGTCAGGCACTTGGTGGGGTGGTGAACATGGATGATGTCGTGAGTAAATAGTGGTCCCTAAAGAGTATTCGTGGCACGGTTTCCCATGCATTTTTAGTGGGAGTGGGCTGAGTGGGGATCTACTTTTCTATATCTATTTGTGGTTCTGTGTAAAATGTAGTCGCGAAAGCATGAAGGATGGGTCAACAGGCTTTCATTCTCTAGAGCAAAGACCTCCAGAGACACTTCGGCAAAGCAGCGAAAAGCCAAGAACGCACGTTGCTACCAGCTTGGATCTCCTTCGTGGCAGGAAACACCAGGAATCGCCCAGCAAATATTAGCAAATAAGACCAAGTTGGGAAAAGGGACATCTAATCGCATGGCATATAAATATATAGATTTGGAGATTCAGGGTTGTCTGAGTCTCTTGGGGAAATGGTTCACCCTAAGAGATGAAAACAGGAGCCGCTACAGCAGCACAAAGCCTGCCCAGAGACGAGGCGGGAAGATCACACAATGGCCTAGGCAGCTTAAGCTGAATTAGTTCATGTCATGATTACGCAGTCAGTTGCATCTTTGGCCAAGCTGCGGAAACTGTCATGGTATTTCTTGAAAAGACTATCTTCTCCTTGAGACGGGGAAGCCAAATCGTGGTTTCTTCTCAATACTGCTGGAACTGCCAGGGCTTCACGATGATATCCTATGACATCAACATCAATAGTGCTGCCCTTACTTGCGCGACTGCCAGATTTTGCATCGATTTCCTCAGCCGTAATGCATCGATTTCGGAACCGCTGTCTGTCCAAATGACCTGACCAATGACTCGCGCCAGGCGCTGAGGAGGCGGAATGGGGGATAACTCGCTATAGAGGCCTTAGGGGCCGTGGAGTAGGAGATCTGCTGACGTTCCATGTTTCAGACCGATTTGAGGGATACTGGTATCATCCATGAAAGACTTCCTGTTCTGCCTTTGAGTACGCAAGTTGCTGTGGCATGCCCGTGTCCTAGATCCAACTGCCGGTCCGCTAGTTGTTGCTGCGCTCCGTGTGGCTGCAAGGAATGCGTTTCGGATCATCCTACATGATTGACTCACCATGAACACACGTTCGAAGAATGCAAGAGCTAGATTTTACAACCCCATGGCGGTCACCCATCACACACAGCACCACTCTTCAAAACTCAACTGAACACCCAACATCAATCTTGTGGTTCATGTTCACACTCGTTTTAAGGTCTTAGCCTCAATCTTCCCACCATGGTGACGCTCGATGATGGCATACCATGTTTCCTCAAGGTGCCAGGCCATGAGGAGTCCGAGATCGCCCTGTGCGTCGATGATGCTATGACAGGGCTTGATGTGATCCGCTGGGAACAGATTCGGGGGGGAAGCGCCTCCTCATGAGTCTCGTGGGAACCGACTCCTGTCGGTTCAAGACCGGATGATTGCGCCCCATGAGCTGGTACGCCCAGCTCTCCCTGAGTCTTGGTCTGGATGTGTGACGCTTGCGGATTACTCTCAACTTATCCCAGCTGAAGGCAAGATTTGTCGCATCAGGGCCACTGAACTGCGAGGCATCAGAGTGGCGCAATTGCACTCTTTGTTGGTGTTCATCAAGGAGATGGCTCCCTACTGGTGTGAAACATTTGGTGCTGAAGCCGGACAGGCACTTTTGTTTGAGAAGTTCAATCTTTACAATGCGAACCAGTGGATCATCCGACCCTCCGCAGAAGGGCGCGGAGGACATCGGATTCATTTGAGCAAGGTGATGAGCCAAGTGGAGAAGGGTTGCAGCTATGTCGAGCTGGTGAGCATGGAAGCAGAGGCCCAGCGTCCCCACTGGTTCGTCTCCCACGCATGGAAGGAGCCGATCGTGAATTTTGTCTCCTGCTTGGAAAAACATTTGGCCGTACGGGGTCTTTCACCAGAGAGCCCCTATTGGGTTTGCGCCTATGCCAACAACCAGCATACCCTAGACAAAGAAATTACGGAAGATCCACGGGAAACTGCCTTCTACCGTGCCATGAAGGCCAGTGAAGGTGTACTTCTCATCTTGGACAAGGATGCAACGCCATTTTCGCGCATTTGGTGCTGCTTTGAAGAGAGTGTTGCGGTGGAGCGCTCAGTTGGTAGTCGCGAAAAGTTGCTTCAGCAACCTTGAGTTCGCTTTAGCTTGGGGTCTAAATCCTGCTTCATGACCGATTTTGGGATCGCGAAAGGAGGCTCTTCACTACCTTCTCTCCCCGCCCCTGGCGGGTTCAATTCCCTGGGACGGATGATGTTTCCCTTCAAATCTACCATGGCTTCGTGTGATTGGATTCGTATCGAGCTTTACTGTTGGTTTGTTGCTGCAGCTGCTTTCCTGCTTTTGCTGCTTTGCTTTGCTGCTGTTGCTGCTGCCGCCTCTGCTACCCACCCGTCGTTGCTAAGCAACCTTTCGCCCACCCCCCTTTTTCTTAAGTTGTGAGCAGTCTTAGACTTCAGGTCGAAGAGCGCAACTCTGCCACACCCTTGCTGCTGGACCTGGCTGCTGTTGCATCTTTCGAGGCTCACATGGTCACGGATGGCTTGGCAGGAGTTGAACGCCAGATGATGCCACTCCTGGGGATGCTGTCGAAGAGTCAGCGTGAAAGCTACTTTCCAGCGGAAGTCCTTGAAAAGGGCTTGCAGGCAATGTGGTTCTTCAGGGTCTCTTGCTTTTAAGGTTTGGGGGGCAATTATTAATTTCAACCACATGATTGTTTTGATGTGCGAGTGGAGGCCATACAGGCAGGTTTGCTCCTCGTTCCTTTCGCTTCAACAA